ACTAATTAATTTCGGTTACTTTTACGAAATCTCTCTTCCCCCTAAATATGTGGGAGCCCCCCATATCACACACGTCACCACTGGGACTACACAATAGGCTATCTGCACTCTGTTCATTACGTGAAATCGAGCCCCGAATTTTACCGTTGTAATTCCGTAAGCGTACTGCTAACTCACTATAGGTCTTTTTTTAAATAAAAAATGGTTAGAAATTTTATTTTATATTGAAAACAGTTAGTAATACAAAATTAGATTTTATTTTTAAGTAACTATAAGAACTAGACATGGTACTGGTATAGAAAGTATTATTAAAAACTAAATATTACTCATTCGGATTTCTATTTTTCAGGCTTGCTGAAATGGACACAATAATACTTTTAATTTCAATCACCTTCTTCATCTTCTTCTGGATTATCATATTCTGTCAAGCTTCTTATCTGTGTCCATACAAAAAGGACACTAGCAACGAACTGTTATCCTTAATTATTGAGGAACAAAAATCTGATACAGCCGCTAGCAACAGTTAAACTTACAACTGAGTGTAAGTCAAGGGTCTGAAAAATCGTCGACGTGACCAAACCGCTTATCACGAGATGGCAGTGCTCGTAGATAACACTAACATATGAAGTAATAAAAAAATTGGACAAGAGGAGTAGAACATTTTCGTTGTTTTTAAGCGTTTCTGTTTGTAGGGATATCAACCCAAAATAAATAAATAGTTAAAACTCCGTGAATAAGTTGATGGTAATACAGAGGGTTGAATACGTAATATTGAAATCAGCAATTCGCATGAAAACCACAGCTGGTGTATAATTATGGTAGGACGGTATGTATCAGAACTACATTTTGACACTGTTTGGCATTTTGTAGGTAGTGTGACGTCACCGAAACCTTATTGCTTTTGTGAAGATTTGTTCAGACGCAGGATTAAGCATTTCCAAGACAGAGATATTACTTGTATTTAATGGTATTGGAAAACAAAGGGAATGGATCATCTAGAGGCTTCAGGACCACCCAGAAAAATTCCTACAAAAAATCGTACGCCAGTCGTGGTGAGCAGAGTATGGTTTCTTGTAATGGTGAGCAGAGTGTGGTGTATTGTAACGGATGAGAACCCATGGACACCAAGCCATCCACGTGCTCCAGGCAACAGTACATAGCATAGTTAAGAATAATTTTTCGTCTGGAAACTTGCAACTGTGTTGACCAATATAAGGCTTCACATACCTAAAGCAACTGGATTGTGGAAAACACGCAGGGATGAATGGTGTGTTTTGACATTACAGTCTTTCGGCGGAATCTTTTGTAATAGAAACTGTTGTGAATATACACAGTCGTTAGACATATCATAACCAGACGTGGGGACGTGAACTGTAATGAAGATGTGAAGCTTCAAAAATGTATTAATTTAATGTATCCGACCTTTGTTTATGCATTAATTCCCTAAGTTTCAAAATTTGTTGATTCTGGATTCATGACTAAATTTACATTTTTCAACTATAAGACTCACATTGAATAATTCGATTTCTGAGTATCAAATAAAAGAAACTATCCATGTTAGACATCTCTTTTTATAAGATGCAAAGAAAACCATTTCTCTTTAAAACATATTAAAACGCATGAACCATTGTATGTAGTTATGAACATCTTTTTCAGTTTTAGTATATTAGAAATACTAAATAAGTTTAATGCTGTATTATTGCAATACAGCTCGGTTTAAAACTCCTGGCACAGAAACAGTAAAGGGAAATTTTGACTTTTAGACTACTTAATTCATCTCCAACCGCGGTTTGTAATTTTTCCAAATTATGTTTGTTTGTAATTAGGGACAAAGCTACTCAATGGGCTATCTGTGCTCTGCCCACCACGGATATCAAAACCCGGTTTCTAACGTTCTAAGTCCGCAGACATACCGCTGTGCCACTGGGGGGGGGGGGGGGGCGTCAAAGTATGTATCCTATAAATAAAAGTAGAAACATTTCTTTGCAAAAAAATGTCTCGCTAAATTATAAATTTTTCATAAAGTGTCCATCTTTTGTTATAAACAAATATACAAAAGTTAATTGTCAGCCAATAAAAATATCTGTTTATAGGGTTTTTGGCCCTCTTTTAACTCACTATATAATGATTAGTTTAATTTAGGTGTGTGGATGATGTTATGGCATTGTGCCTAATAAAATATAATATTATATATTGTACCAACTATTTAATGGTCATATTACAGATATATTTTAATTTCACCAAAGGTAAAGTTTAAAATATAATCTGTGTTGTTGTTTGTAATTAGGAACAAAAGCTACACAAAGAGCTATCTGTGCTCTGCCAACCACGAGTATCGAAACCCTGTTTATAACAGTATAAGTTCGCAGACTGCCGCTGTGCCACTGGAGGGCGTGTAATCTGTGATGAAGAGACCTAATGCATTTTTGTTTTATTAGCCGCACTCTCTGCTGTTGACTACAGCTTCGCCTATTTAAGGCTCATCAGCACATCGTGGGGTCAGCACACTAAAGAAATACAGTTAGGTTATCGACTACAAATATCTTTTAACTCTGTTACTTATGCAAAGGATAGTCCCAGTCATCCGGATCTTACGTACAACCTTCAACAAAAAATGATTTTAAACTCACAAATCTCCCTGTCCATAAGTTTCAAAAAGTATCACAGCTTAGCAGGCGTAGTCTACGGTGGAACAGTCTACGGATTCACAACGCTAAAATCTGGAGTTAGATTCCCTCGGCGGACACAGATGATAGCCTTTAACGGGCATAAAAAAAGGCCTAGGGTTAAATCATATTAAATGAATATTTTATGCAGTACTTGTGGAAGAATTTCCTATAATCGTTGTCAAAATTAGGTAAATCTCTTTTTATGATATTACCTTTGCAGTAATGGCTAGAATATTATTTTTTTAATTTAATTTCATATAAAAATTGTTATGAAACTGTGTTATAGTTAACTTAATAGTTATGAAACTGTGTTATAGTTAACTTAATAGTTATGAAACTGTGTTATAGTTAAAGTGATAGTTATGAACTGTGTTATAGTTAACTTGATAGTTATGTAACTGTGTTATAGTTAACTTGATAGTTATGAAACTGTGTTATAGTTAACTTGATAGTTATGAAACTGTGTTATAGTTAACTTAATAGTTATGAAACTGTGTTATAGTTAAAGTGATAGTTATGTAACTGTGTTATAGTTAAAGAGATAGCTATGAATATGTGTTAAAGTGATAGCTATGAATCTGTGCTATGGTTAACTTGATAGTTATGTAACTGTGTTTTAGTTAAAGTGATAGTTATGAAACTGTGTTATTAGTTAAAGTGATAGTTATGAATCTGTGTTATAGTTAATTTGATAGTTATGAACCAGTGTTATAGTTAACTTGATAGTTATGAAACTGTGTTATAGTTAAAGTGATAGTTATGAATCTGTGTTATAGTTAAAGTGATAGGTTATGAATCTGTGTTATAGTTAAAGTGATAGTTATGAATCTGTGTTATAGTTAATTAGTTAAAGTGATAGTTATGAATCTGTGTTATAGTTAATTTGATAGTTATGAACCAGTGTTATAGTTAACTTGATAGTTATGAAACTGTGTTATAGTTAAAGTGATAGTTATGAATCTGTGTTATAGTTAAAGTGATAGGTATGAAACTGTGTTATAGTTAAAGTGATAGTTATGTAACTGTGTTATAGTTAAAGTGATAGGTATGAACCAGTGTTATAGTTAACTTGATAGTTATGAAACTGTGTTATAGTTAAAGTGATAGTTATGAATCTGTGTT